GCTACTCCTCAGGAGTCTGAGATCTGAGGATCATGGTTCTATCCTGCCAGCCAGGCACAAAAAGCCCGAGAGTCTCTTATCCCCAGTTAAGAAGCAAAATGCCACAAGTAGAGATGGGGTTCAAGAGGCAGAGTGTCATCCTTGAGCAAAAAAGGCAAAAGAGAGTGCAAGGTACTGAGTTTAAGCCCCAGTTCTGGCACGTGCACGTGCGTGTGTGCGCGGGCACACACACACACACATACATAAATTCTTGTTACAAAATAATTCATTTAGATAATGGTAGAAACAAGTCAGTGAATTGTTCATATTGAGCCCATTAGGACTGAAAGTTCAAATGTGATGCTGGGTACTGGTGGTCCTGCATTAATCGTAGTAGGCTGAGATCTGAGAATCACCATTCAAAACCAGCCTGTACTGGAAAGTCTGTGAGACTCTTATCTCCAATTAAGCACCAAAAAACCAACCAAACAAATACATAAAACAAAAGCTGGAAGTGGAGCTATGGCTCAAGTGGTAGTGTACTATCCTTGAGCAAAAAAGCTCAGGGACAGTGCCCTGGCCCTGAGTTCAAGCCCCAGGACTGGCATACACACAAAAAAATGTGTGTATGTATGTGTATGAACCATAAACAAAAATGAAGCACAGAAAAGCAAATTGGGTTTTGGTTCACTGCCTTTCTTTCAATGCTCCTCTAGATTCTTTTAACTCTAGGCCTATAGGCAAACACTTAATTCTTTAGGCTAATTTTGAAGGTCATTAGGAATAGGCTTAATTTTAGTTATAGGGATACTTATCTTTGAACTGGAGCATAAGAAGTCAAACCATAAGATTTTTCCATCTAGACTGTATTTTGTGTAATAAGACAGAAGCTTCACATTTATCTGGTTGGGATTTAAAGTTTCATTTATTAGCTTATAACCTAGAATGTCTAAAAATATAAAGTATAATTCTGATCTATGTCTTAGTTTTTGTTACTGAAGCATTTGGAAACAAGAGACATAAGAAGATATTTATTTTAGCCTCTCTTTATTTCTCTTTCCACCTTACAATCAAATTCAGCAACTTTACCAATAAACAGTAAAAATGATAGAGTATAAACAGCATTGCCCAAGTAAATCCATCATAGACCTGTATCTGAGAATGGTTCCTAAATAGGGGAAGTGTGTTTCATACAAAGAGTCCATTTTCTGTTATTGCCTTTTTTATTTGGACTACTGGATTCTATATATCCTAAAGCAATCTTAATAGTTTCCTGTCTTTCACTAACAAGAATGACTTGTCATAATGAGTAGTGTAGACACTGTCCATTTGATCCAATCTAGAAACCTGCCTACTTGACATAAGAGTAAATCACCTCAAATCCTTTGTGGAATGTGTAAACATAAACTAATGAAAGAAGAAAATAAAAATGTGATTCTTCCTTCCTTCCTTCCCTCCCTCCCTCCTTTCTTTCTGTCTTTTTCTTCTTTTTTTTTGTCAGTCATGGGGCCTGGGAACTGTCCCTCAGCTCTTCAGCTCTTGGCAAGCACTCTACTACTTGAGCTACAGTGCTACTTGAGGTTTTCTGGTGGTTTATTGGAGATAAGAGTCTCATGGACTTTCCTGCCCTGGCCAGCTTTGAACCTTGATCCTCAGATCTCAGCCTCCTGAGTAGCTAGGACTACAAGTGTGAGCCACCGGCACCCACCAAAATGTGATCATTTCTATCAGAGAGCAATAAAGGATTGGGACATTTGGAGACTTGGTTTATTTAAAAAAATGTAACAAGGAATTACACATGACAATGGTAAAGGAAGGAAGAATCTTCATGGATATAAAATCTTATGAAATAGTTTCTTCCTTTTTTAGGAAAGTAGTTACTTTTGTTTTGTTTTGTTTTTTGGGGTCTGGTCGTGGGGCCTGAACTCTGGGCCTGAGCGCTGTCCCTCAGCTCTTCAGCCCAAGGCTAGCGCTCTACCACTTGAGCCACAGTGCCACTTCCGGCTTTTTTCTTATGTGGTACTGAGGAATCAAACCCAGGGCCTCGAGCATGCAAGGCAAGCGCTCTACCACTGAGTCAGCTTCCCAGCCCCATTACTTTTGTAGTTAATAATAGTCCTTAATTGTAGTCAAAATGGTGTATATTAGGAAATTACTTTTATCTACTTTAATTCCACACAGAAGATTTCTACTTTCAGTACTCTTTCTATGTCTAGGTAGGAATTTCAAATTTCATTTTGGGGAATGGGCTCATTTTGGGGGGGGGAGTGGGGAGGGTCCGTCATGGGGCCTGAACTCTGGGCCTTGGTGCTGTCCCTCAGCTCTTCAGCTCAAGGCTAGCACTCTATCACTTGAGCCACAGCACCACTTCTTGCTTCTTTTTTGCTTATATGGTGCTGAGGAATCGAACCCAGGGCCTCATGCATACAAGGCAAGCGCTCTACCACTGAGCCACCTTCCCAGCCCCAGAATGGGCTCATTTTAAGGGATGTGCTTTTTGGAATTTTTTCCCTTTGGTTTTGTGTTGTAAGATTAGACATGGATACCTACATATTTTAATTCTCCTTTCACAATTAAGTTTTTGGTTTTAGCTCTAGAGAAGGACATAAATATGTCATACTGCTATCAGTGGATAAAAACCCCAGATTCTTGGCATCAAAGAACTGAATTAAGACATGAATACCAAAGAGAAATGGTAAAGGAGAGATTTTGGTAGTTTAAGTGCACCATTAATTCGAGCTTGATGGCTCATATGGTTAAATTTGAGTTTTCAAGGGTTTGAAGAGTGTGGGAGGAGTTCATAATAATGACAGTGGGTTGATCTTGGCATTATGATCTTGATTATGATTTGGCAGATTTTTAAAAGAGATCTATGCATGTGCAAGATTGTCATACCATGTTTTTTAAGTGTATGTATGAGATACAATCCAGATGCATGAGGCCTCAAGTTGGAATTTGTTTCACTAGGGATGCATGTATTTCTACTATGCAGGTATTTCAGTTTGGTTAGAAATGGCTTGAAGTTTTTCTTACAAACCCATCAGAATCTCCATGGAGGAATGGCCTTGGTAAGTATTAGGGAGGAGATAGGACTTAAAGAGTGTCTCCTAGGGAGTGAGTAGGAGAGGTTGCTGGTTTTAACATTCTTTCCCTAAAACCTGCCTCAATACTACATTTGACTACTTAATTTTTACTAGTACTGTCATTTTTTTTTCTTTTTTTGGTGCTGGGGATCAAACCTAGAACCTTGTACCTGCTAAACAAACGCTCTAAACTAGATCTCAACCCTTAAGGTTTTTTTTTTTTATGGAATTTAATAAGGCTCTATGTTGGGTTTAGGGGTGTAGTTGGGGATAAAAGATAACACAACAAATTTTGTGTTCTATAGGAACTAGGTACTAATGAAGTGATTCTAAAAATGAAATCTCAGGGCAACTTGAATTCATACCTTGGGTGGGTTCATGGACTCTACAGTCGGTCTATGAAGGGAATAGATACATGCTTCTTGTTGGTGGCTTCTGTGCATGTGTTGATAATTTTGTATAATTTTGAGATTATTTAAATGAACCCTGGCAGTACAAAAATTCACCATATCTGACAGGAATTGTGTAAAAGACTAAATCTAAATCTCTGAAGTGAGACTTGCGAATCCACAACTTGTAGTAGTTTGTGATTCTAAGCCAATCAAAGTGTAGGAACCTCTGGACTAGAAGAGAAGGTTAGATGATAAAATAAACAATTTGCATTTTGATTGTAGCCATGAGACAATACTCAAATAATAATGGTAGCACTTAGGAAAGTTAGCTCTTAGGAAAGTTAATAGATGATAGTCACTATTTCTCCTCAGCGAAATGTAGGCAAGTGGACACTCACCTACTGTTTTGAAAATGATACACCTTACCAGAGATAGAAGAGACAACTTGGGCATACCAGTGATTACTATTTCCAAGCATTATTATTTTATGGTAAAAAGTAATAGGTTTTATTATGACATTTTCCAAGCCTTTTTTTTTTTAATTGAGAAATACCCAGTGGACACTCAAGAAATGGTTTATGCTGTAGCGGCTGCTCTCGTTTATGAGCCTCTATTCTGTATTCTTCAGTGGCCTCAATATCATTTTCCTGGATGAAAAATATAGTGACACACTAGGTTTTGAGTGATTTTTATGGTTGAAATACTTGAATGGAATGCCTGTCTTCCTACACACACATTCATCTTTAAAAGGGCCTGAATGAGTCTTTTTAGGTTATAGGAAAAGCCTGCACGATTTACAGGCAGAAGCCATTCAGTATTGATTAAATGATCAACTTGGAGTGAAAACGTTTTATAATTTCATTCTACTCATCACCACTAACTAGCACTTTTTTTTCTGAAATGCTTGCAGGTGTCTATCTACTTAGCCTTATTTTCCCAACCTTACAAAAAGATAGCACCAATAACTCCCCACTTCCCTTGTATTGTGTGTGTGTGTGTACTAGTCACCCTAAGAATACGAATTAGGTAGAAAAGAAACCTTGGGTGCAACCTGCCCACCCTCCCCCAGCAGCTCCTCTTCTCAGGAAGGCCTGGCGGAAGATGGGACTTTTTCTAACCTTCATTCAATCAGACAAAGACGGTTTAAGAAGGAAACACACAAAAGAATAGCTTATGGACGACCACAAACGGTGTCAAACCTTTGTTTATGCAGAAGATCCCTTAAGCAGAAAACCTGAAAGCACCGCAGGTATGATATTTCCCGCGATCCTGGAGAAAAGGGCCGCACCAGTACTTAAAATGGCGACCAAACGCTTCAGCTCTGATACCACGTGACACGGCCACGCCTGCTCCCTTCCCAGCACACCACGCCTCCAGCGGCCCCCACCGAAAGTGGGCGTGGCCCTCCTGGAGGCTCTTTTCTTCCCAGAGGCAGAAATCCCCAGGAGGTCCAGGCGCAGCCCCACCCCTCAGGCGCCCGCGCCCTCGCCCCGCCCACGGCCACGCCCCGTTCTTCCGGGCGGGGCTGGGCCCAGAGTCCAGCTGCTTGCTGGCTGGAGATCCCGAGACTTCCTTGTTGTGAGTCCCGGCCTGGCAGTGTCCGAGTCTGAGGCACCGCCACCCCTGCACCTGGTCGGTCACCCTTGCCCCGCACGCCCTTCGCTCTCTATCATGCCCAACCCCAGCAGCACCTCCTCTCCCTGCCCCCTCCCTGAGGAAATTAGGAACCTGTTGGCAGGTAAAGCGCGGGAAGGGGGCGGGGAGCGCTGCGGGGGTAGGGGGCCCGGGTGGGGGGTGACGGCCAGCCCACGGGGACCAGGCTTTCGGAGACCGTCCCCTCCCTTCCTCCCCTCCGCCCCAGCCAGTCTTCTGAGTGGTGGGGGCAGGACTGGGAGGAGGGAAGCTGGGGAAAGCCGGGAGCCTGTGGTGAAATCTGGTGCCTGCCGGGATGGCGGCAGAGCCCGGCGTCCGGTTTCACACTTCGGGGTTCAGTGCACTTCTGGGCGCATCGCGTGTGGAGGGAGGGGAGAGGAGGACGGAGAATGTTAGGAATGCCAGTGTGGGAACTTGGGAGGATAGCCGGAGCTGAAGTACTTCTTGGGTGGCTTGGCCAGTGGAGATGCTGGGCCGCAGGTGTCAGGGGGTGCGAGGTGGAAGGGTATGTCATTTGTAAAACTCCCAGTCTCCTCCAACATTCAGGTCACTATCTTCAGCCTTAATAGTTATTAAAGAAAAAAAAAGGAAGGATGTGTTAAAAGTCCTACTTCCTGTGCCACTTGATGAAAAAGCACTTATCTTTGCACTCTCATCTTCCCCTTCGCAATTTGACATTTCCACTTACAGGAACTCGTTTCAGACTTAGATATGGCTCTTCATGGCTATTATGAATCCACCACTTTTCACTTATATATACTAGATATGGATGGAGATGTATGTTTTCTCCAAGAACCCAGGAAAACTGTAGTTCTGCACAAGGCAAAAAACAAAAAACAAAAAACTCCAAAACATTTTATCTTGTCCATCCTAAAAATTTTACCATCATTGACTTTGTCTTGTGTGTCAGAAATCTGGAAATGGTAGTATTTTATTATAGTTGTCTCAAATATTTTCTTTTCTCTATGGGTCATAAGTGGATTAAAAGAATTTCTCATAGATGCCTGTGCTATAGGTTGCTTCTGAACTCTTAAGAAGCAATGTCCTCTAGAAGGAGACATTTAAAATAACAAATTGCTGTATAGCAATATGAGGACATGTTCTACTGTTTTGAGTGCTTAACATCATATTCCTGAAAAAATAAAACTAAGTGTATTAACACAGACTTAGCTTTGTTTGAATATGATGCAGTTTGCTGAATGCATTGTAGTGGGATCCACTCAAGAAATTAGTGGGTACCACTAAATACCAAAAACTTTAGAGTCTGATTAAGGCATTTATTCCATTCTATTAGAGTTTTACACCAGTACTAATTTTAACTACAGTTAACATTTTTTGTTACAATGCCCAGATTGCTTGTTTAGAAAATTATTTTAATAACCAGATCAAAGAAGTATTTATCTTTGTCACAGAAATAATAATCACTGTTTTCAAGTTATTCAAGGTCTGTATTTTTGAATTTAAGAAAAGGCAAGAGGCATGGCTCCAGTGGTAGATCACCTGCTTAGCAAACTCAAGGGCCTGAGTTCAAACACTCATACCTCCAAAGGAGGTGAGTTCAGACCTTTGTGGATGCTCCCATAGTAGGCAATTTGCTATTTGGACATAATCATTCATCCCCAAATACTGTGATATATGAATTATGTGACTCTTCAATCTTTTATCTTATAGACTTATATATCTTAATCATGTGATTTAACCATTCAAAATTATGTATTTACCTGCAAGTGCCAAATTTCTATAATTTCTGCCATCTCTTTTAAGTCAAATAATATACGAGCATAATATCTAGTTATGTTTCTTTTTTATAAGCCACTGGCATTTTTTACATTTTGTATTTTTAAAGTAAATCACATATTAATGAAGAGGGCCTGGAGGCATGGCCCAGCAGTAGACCACATTCCAGTGTCTCCAGACTTTGAATTTAAATCTAATACCACTAAAAATAAATAACCCCCCCTAAAATAAAACAGAAAAACCTATGAAGAATTTATAACAAATATTAAAATATTTAAAACTTTGGAGATTATGGCTTTGAATTGTACTTTATTTTTGGAAGATATTTTGAGGAGGTATGAATATAAATTGAGATATAGATACGTATTTAAAGAACACAATTAAACCAGTGTTTTTTAGGGTTTTAAACTTTGTAGTGTAAAAAAAAGTTAACATTTCAACAGATCAAAGTAAATGGAAGGCTTATGATGCAACACATCTTGTGAAGAACTACCCAGATTCTCAGCTAGACATACTAATTGATCAAGAAAAGATGATCAGTTTCTTTCAGATGGACAGCTGCTTCCTGATAACTTCATAGCTGCTTGTACAGAAAAGAAAGTCCCTGTTGTCTTTAGATTACAAGAGGGTTATGATCATAGCTATTACTTCATTGCAACTTTTATTACTGACCACATCAGACATCATGCAAAGTACCTGAATGCGTGAAAAACTTCACACAGGAGACTCTCTCCAGGATTAAAGTTGTAACAAACAGAACTACTAAGAACAAAAAGATTTCAAAATATTGGATTTCATAATTGTCAAGGAGCCTCTTTCACCAGTTGAATAAATACATAAAACTGCAAAAAAAGTTAACATTTCATGTTTAACTATAATTACAATTTTCTTTTTAAATAGAGAAAGCTTCAAGAATAGATGCTCTGAGCAGTTATTGCATCCCAAAATATTGTTGGGGTACATGATAATTTTAAGTGATAGCATGGGGTAAGATTTAGAATTCTAAAATTGTAGAGGAAGTTTCTGTACTGATTGAAATTATAGAAATATTGTTGGCTTATTAGCACATTCTTTTGAAACTAAGCAGATATTGGTATGTGATCATAAATACTTGAGTGCTCTTAGAATCCATGATATGATCCTGGTTAGATAAGAAACTAATCCTTTCAGTAGTTTTAAATTCTTTGCTTTCAAAAAGTATATTAAAGTAAAAAGTAGCTCCAAAATAATATTATTTCAACATAATTCCAAAATATTATTATTCCAAAATAATATCCCCTTTGAGTTCCTGTGCCTATTATACAAATTGTCATATGCCTTGTATGTTAAATATTTGACATTTAGCTGCTTGATAAGTATTAATTGCTTATATATTTTTCTAGTCATATTCTTTTTTTATCAGTTCTTTTTCATATTTTTAATGATTGATTTTCTTTCTAATTATGATAGTTTTAGCTCCTCTTTCAATATTTGTCCCTCTTTTAAAAAATTGTATAGAAATGCAACAAAAAAAAGAAATGCAACAAAAAAGAATTAGAGATTCTTCTTCTTTTTTTTTTTTTGTACTGGGGATCGAACCCAGGGCGTTGCACTTGCTAGGCAAGCGCTTTGCCACTGAGCTACATCCCAGCCCGAGATTATTATTCTTAATGATACTCTTGAAAAAGTAATGATACAGTGTAGCAGTTATATTTTCTGTAGAATAAATATGTTAGATCTTGAAGGCCTTTTTTAAAAAAATAAAAATGTGCCAGGTGCTGGTTGCTCACACCTGTAATCCAACCTACTCAGGAGGCTGAGATCTGAGGATCACGGTTCAAGCCAGCTCAGGCAAGAAAGTCTGTGAGATTCTTGTCTCCAGTAAACCACCAGAAAACCAGAAGTGGCGCTGTGGCTCAAGCGGTAGCACGCTCAACTTTGAGCTGAAGAGCGCATGGATAGCACCCAATCCCAGAGTTCAAGCCCCATGACTGACAAAAAAAAAAAAGTTGAATTATTCTTTTGGCTATGTAAGTGGAAGACAGCTTATAAATTTTGTTGTTGAAAACAAAGTTTACCTCCACTGTTAACCTTTTATTTTCACTGCCCCCCTCCCCACATAGTGGAAGGACAGGTTTAGTCTGTATCATTACAATCAAAGGAAAACCCCAGATCTTGTCCATTGAATCTTCTCTTACATCCCAATATTTTGACTAGATCTGATAGCAAGAATAATCTTGATTTTGTTGACTTTTTCACTGTGGCAGGCAGAAAGTGAGCTCCTTCCTATTGCCCTCCCACCCATTAGTATAATCACCTTTAACTTCTGGTCTGCTCATGGTTTACAATCAAGTATTTTAGTTCATTCTCGTTTATCACAACAAATGTAAGAGGATGCTATCTTTTTAAAAATTATTATTAAATTAGGAAGTGAAACCAATGTTATAGGAAGAAAATAATTGTAAAAACCAATACCAAACCAAAGAAATAACTAACTGGCTACAGGAGTTCTGCAAAGTGACCTGGAGATTTGTTCCTGTTGCAGTTTTGGTGAAACATTGTGCATTTTCCCCTACTGGGGATTTCCAGAAATTATCTTGCATTGTAATTAATAGAGACACTAGATAAAATAATTCTATTGAAAGAGAGGCAGGATTTCCTCCCCTCCCCCCCAATGCCTAGTATAGTATGGTTTGATTTCTACTTTCCCAAAATCTTATTTGTAATTTGATCAACATTTTGGTTTTATTTCTATTTATTATTTATGGCATAGTAGTGTACCATAACTTCCTTGGGGGTATTGGCTGAGTATATAAAGGGAAGAGTGCCACCTACTGAGTCACCAATACTCACCTACTTCTTAGCACCTGGATTTTCTATCAGAAGAAGAACAAGCCTGCTCCATTTGTCAGCAGTAACAAATGAGCCTAAAGTTACTCTAAGTACATTTAATCTCAAAATGAAATCAATCAGTAGCATCTCTACAATACTTCCTTGTAGAAATAAAAATACAAATTATCAAAGAAAGGGACCAGAAGTTTACTGAAGCTTTTGTTTTTGCTTTTGAGTCTGGGTCTGGGTTAAGTAGTGTGAATGGATTAAAATATATGTTAGAAAATCATTTGCCTATTTATCTTAAGAACATAATGTCCTGCATTTTCTTGGGAGGGAATATTTTGGGATGACTTGATTCAAAATATTTTCATTTCAGATTAGTAAATTAGGCCTTTGATGTTATGCCTAATCATTGTGTCTTGACTATTTGCCTAATCCAAATAATCTTTAGTTTCCTTTAAAAAGAGAAGTCTAAATATGCTAAAAATTCGAAGTGGATTCATCTCTACTGATGTTAGCACTGAAGTATGGCTAGGAACAACAGCATAGGAAAAGCCTCTGATGATTGGAAGCATAGTTCAGTTGTTTCTCATAAATTTAAGATTAAGTGTCATATATGGGTGATAAAAGTGGCGTAGGCTGGGTTTTATATACTCATTATTCACTTAGTTTGTCTTTTTCAATTAAAGCCAAGTCTATCTTTTTCATTCCACTGAGTTTACATTTCTTTTTCAATCACATTCTGAACACATTATAATAGATGCTGCCTAACAGTGAATATAGTGTAAATCTCAGATTAATCTGTTACTCACTGTGGCTTCTTTGTAAATGCACAGTAAAAAGATTTTGATTATCATAAAGTGCTATTTATCAAGAGTCATCTTTTAGTGGTTGAAAGATGGTCAGCCCTATCTTTCAACAGCCCAGCTTTTTTTTTTCTTTCTTATTGTGCAACCCTGGTTGGCCTTCATCCTCATGATCCTTCTGCTTCTGAGATCAATCCCGAATTTAGCAAGGATTATAGGTTGCTCCAACCTGGCCTACAATTGTTCAACCTTCTGTAAATCCTGTAGCTTGAAAAACTAATTTTAAAATTATTGTAGAATGATTGGATTGTAAAGCTCAGACATATTACCCATTGCACATGACTCTTTTTCCACTTTGAAAAGTCCACATTTTATCCATAACCTATACACGTGCTAGATGATCAAGGGAGAGACATTGACTGGAGCAATAAAAAACTTTTCAATTAGCCATTTTCCAACTTTGGGTATTTGGCTCCAATTGATCTGCATGTGCCCAGATGGTTGATGTTTACATTTTCATCTGTAGCTGCTGGGTCAGATCATTCCTTCCCTGCTTTAACAGAAGAAAAGTATCTTTTGTTTTGATTGCAGGTTAGGCTTGAATCCTTAACAGGTTAAATTTGGTGACAGCATGTCTCAGTGAATACTGAGTGAATTCTAGCTCAGTTCTTAAAGTAGAGAGAGATGTGGAATTCAGTAGTAAAGGCATTTGGAGTGTCATGTGATTTTTTTTTTTTTAACACTTACTCATCTGGGGCTGAGCAAATGCTTGTGGATTCTGCCCTAGTTCTTGCTCCCTCTTCTATACAATTCAGGCCATCACAGAGGCTGTGTATCTGCATGCCTGTGCAGGGAGGTATTAGATAGTAGGGAGAAAAGGAGGGTACCCTTGTGTCAGTTTACCACTTCCAGCCTGAAATCCATTCAAAGGTCTGTGGGGGTGAGGACAGGTGGTTAGACCCCTCAGTTGTCTTCACAAAATGGAAACTTGTGCTAAATATGCAACTTAAGCAACCTGTAGTTTATCTTTGCCAACATTTTTTTTAAAATCACTATGTGATGTATATAGAAGTTGGTAGAAGGGAGAGAGTGTGTGTGTGTTGGAGGGGAGGGGTGTAACCTAATCACTTGGGACACTACAGGAAGATTAAGTGACAGTTTTTCTAGGGGATGTGTATGTATTAAAGAAGTTGGAGCACCATTTAAGAAGTCACATGTTAAGTGTCTGCCTTAAGAAGGGTGAAGATGGCCACTGTTTAAGGATTGCTGAGCCAGAATCTGTCCTTTTTTGTTTTCAGACCTTGACATTTATCTAAAGAGCAGTTGTAAATCTGATCTTTTCAGCTGCCTTCCCCACCCCATCTTTACAGCTGTGCTTGGAGATAAGGTTTACTCTTGACAACATTAAGGTATAACAGGAGCAAAAACCACCACTGTGTTTACTTCTGCCAGAATAACTTTTTCCTAATGATATCTTGTGGGGGAGGGGTGGAAGGTGAAAGACTGCCCAACGTTGGGAGTACTTCTGAAGTTAAATGCGGGCAATCACAACTGCAACTGCGGATGTGGGGTACTTGGGCTTGCTGCCTAATTTGGGCACCCCCTTTCTGGTGCCTTCTCAGTGCCCCAAGGGTAGAGCCTCCTGAAGGCATTTCCCTTCCACCGTCAGCAGAACCCCAGGATGTGACTTGAAACCCTCCTCTCTCCCAGAAAGAGGAATTCTAGCTCCAGGCCACGGGGCAAGTAAGCCTGGCAGGCTGACCCTTGTTTGCAATCAGACTAAGGCAGTTTCTCCGAATCCCTGGCTGTCTGGAGTCAGTGAAATCTGCATATTAACCCAAGGGAGACACGACCTTTAAAGAAAGGTAAAAGCGATCCAATAGGCTTGGTAGTTTACTGCGCGCTGCTTTACCGTTTGCAGGGCTATTTAGAGCACAATAAAAAGCTTCAAATCTCTTTTCCAACCAGCCAGAGGAGCGCTTGATTTACCCAAGACTTTTATTGCTCGCTTTTGAAATATTACCCTGGCTTTGAGGTACAAAGCCGCAGATCCAGCTCCATTTGTCTGGTGAGGGCGCTGCCCCAAACTCAGCTCTCCCCATTACAGCTCTGTGGATGGGAACCCTGGGGTTTAAGTGGCCAAGGGTCGTGCTTCTCTAGTTTCTCAGTGGGCAGCTCTGAGCATCCTCTGGAGAGCCCAGGTCACGTCCTCTTTCTCCGGCAGCAGCTCTCTCTGCCCTGGGGAGAGAGCTCCGAAGTGGGTGCGGTGCCGGCCAGGGAGAAGCATCTTGTGAATCCGAGGAACCTCCAGTGCCTGCTGGGAGAGGCTGGGTTCCTTCCAGTCCCTTCAGAAAATAAACCAAAAGAGGCTGTAGATGTTAAGAAATAACTTAGATGTCAAAATCTTAACCTTCCAAGCCTGTGGCCAACCAATAAACTAAGATCATTGTAGGGACCGCTTCCTGTTAACAGAATTCTTACTCATCGCAAAAACAAAACAAAACAAAACAACCCCCACTCCACCCTAGCTAAGCAGCTCCTACTCAAAAAAGTCAGAGTTTAATTGATCCCATTAATTGACTTAAGCCCTTTTCTGGGAAAAGCTTGGGAATAAGTATATTAAAACTACTACTCTAAAAGCATAGATCTTTTTCCTTACTCCGTCTCCGAAGTGAGTCTCTCTGTTCCTTAAGAAATAGTGAAATCCTTTCTGCAGCCCCAAATTTCCTCGTAAGCAGAGGCTTGGGTGAGTATGTACAGAATATTTTGGTGAGATTTTAGGAAATATTACGTAGAGCATTGCAGGCTCTTCTCCCCCCACTCCTGTGGGGTTTTTCTTTTTAATAGAAATAAAATGACCGTTTAAAGAAGTAGCTCGTGGGCTGTAATTCCGCTTGTTACGGCTTCTGGAGATAGAAAATAGATTCTGTTTGTTTAAACTTGGATTATAGTGGAAACGTAAAATAGGAAGACGAATTAAAGATGAACATTGAGTGAAAATAACATTAAGCAGATCACTCACAAGTCGTGTCAGTGACTCTTGTATGCATGCAGGATGGCTGGAAGAAACCGAAGGGGTAGAAGTCCTTCCCTTCTCCGTTTTAAAAAAAATAAAGAACAGAAGAATACCTACAGCTCCCAGAGAAACCAGACTGACTTTTCTATTTCAGCTTCTGTGTGAACGTTCAAAATGACTTGCTCCCTGCGTACAAGCTTCTTCATGTTTCATGATTTTGAACTCATTGAGAAATGTGGGTTTAATTTGATTGGTTTTGGATTTATGTCTTTTCCTATTCAAAATATAGGTAACTCAAGGAAAGAGAAGCCAGGATATTTTGCTTTCATCTTATTTTAATACTTTTAACATCTTAGTTGTTAATGGACTTTAAACCAGAGGCTATTAAAATATTTGAAGATTTAATTTTAAGACTTTCCTTTTCACAGTGACTTAGCGAACAATTATCTCTACACATTAATTCTGAATGTATAACAGTTTAACCAACTTTGCTCCTGGGCTCACAATACTTGTGTAATCAAGTATTTAAAATAAATTACAAACATTCAATCCTACATATTATATGCTAACTAATTATAAATACCATAGACAATTATGCTACTTTTTATTACATGTAATATTATATTTTAATCACAGTAAGTTGAGAGACAAAATAAATAAGAAGGTGAAATATGTACCTTTTTCAATATGAAATATGGATGATTTGTAGCCATTCCTACTTAAACATATTTCAGTGGGGGTCCTCCTCATTAGATATTTTCAAGTGAGTACTGAAATCCTGAAAACGAAATTAATGTTGCCTAATATTTTACACACAGTAAGAATGGAGCAATTATAAAAGTCAAACCAGCAAGGAGAGAGAAACACAGAAAAATTTAGGAGTTTACTAAAATGTTGCAAAGGAGACTATGGGGAGATATTTGAAGCCATAGAAATCTCATTTCGTAGATACTTTTTAAATAGTAGAAGAATGTTTTTCTGCTTTTTTATTTAAAAGATTCTCCAGGTGACTAATTGTAAGACAGAGCTTATAACTAGTTATCTTTCTGATTTGAGGGTGGCCACAGCAGGTGGGGCAGATCACAGGAGCCAGGTGTGAAAAAGGTTTATTATTTTCACTTAAAGCATAAAACATTCCATATACCTGGTAGTGGGAAAACAGACCTTTGCCTATTTTGAGAAAATAATTGTGAATGACTTGTTCATATAGGAACTTAGAGAATACCATAAAATGAAAATTACAGTAACATGGATAAAAGCTTTCTGCTTGCTTTTATATAAGAGAAATTATTTTATGGGGCACCATAGTTTATTAATAAAACTTGTGTGCTTCTTCCTGGCTTAATGATGCCAAACATCCAAATAGCTTTTGCTGTGCTCAGCATTAAGTAGAGCATACAAATTTTATTAGCTAAGTGGTGAACTGATTTGTCAGGCTTAGTATTTGAAGCATACTTCAATTTTGGATTGATAAATAACTATAACAAATTGTATAGATATTAACATTTATGTGTAGAAACAATCATTGTCCTATTTGTCTTCACAAAAGTGATTCTTATAATTTGTATCCCTTTCCTTATATTTCATGGTTTAGATGTTGAAACATTTGTAGTAGACATCCTGAAAGGGGAAAATTTATCCAAGAAAGGAAAGGAAAGGAGAGAATCTCTTATTAAGAAGATAAAAGAAGTAAAGTCCACGTAAGTCACTAATCTACTACTAATTTCTTGGAAGCAACTTTGCAATTAATGTTTTAATAAAGAATTGATTATCATGGAGCTAATTTTTTGTTATTTTTATTATTGGTGCTAAGTATTTTTAAAGGATAAAATATGTATTCCACTATAACAGCTTTAAAACAAACATGGTAATCATAATACTTCTGGTGAAGGTTCTTGATAATGCATTGTTAATCATTCTAATAAAATCCAATTGTTAATTTGAATATCTGAGAGTGCATTTGGTTTAAATGATAAGACATAGGTAGACTGACGATTTTAATATAAATGTGAGAATACCCTCAGACACAAGAAAAAGAAAATCCTCTTAATTGTTACTTCATTAAATGAATAAATATAAAACTTCATGGATATGGAAGATATACCCTCATTTTACTACTTAGATCTTTAAAAATAATTTTATTATAACTTCACAAGCTTTTAGAATTGTCACTAAGGGCAGGAAACACTTTGTTCTCTACATATATGTTTATATTTGGACTATGGCAACTAATGAATCACTTTTATTTTTTACCTCATTTTAAGAAAAAAATGTTTTTTTTTTTATTTTGCAGGTATCTTCAGGAATATCAAGACAAAGGTAAATTTCAAACTTAACTTCTTTTTCCTCTTTGGAGATTTTCAGTAGCATAATCTGACACATTCTGACATGTTACAGAGTAAACATTTAAATTTCCATATTGTGTATTTAGACTTTCAAGATGAGTGTGCTAGCTCCCCCTGCTGAGAAAAAAAAATAAAGAGCATATCCAAAATCTACTCAGTTTGTGTTGCAGAAATCTTAGTCTTTTAACATTCTTAGGTTTTGTGTTTCTTATAGGACATTGTAGCAGAAATTTGTTAGGACAGGTATATATGTGCAGTTACACAGGGCTCAATTTGGTGAATCAGAGGTTAGCTACCACCTAATGCTCTTTAACACTGTTCACATTGCTTTTATAGAGTGATAGGATGGGAAGGCCTGTGGCTGGATATTCAACTTGTCATGTTTTTGATAGATGCTATAAAAACAGTACCAAACTTTGCTTACGCATGTGAATAAAATCTTTTTCAGATCTTTGCAATTTCTCTCTCTCCTTTCCTTTCTCTCTCACTGTATCTTTGCGTCTCTGTCTCCTCTGTGTCTCATATCTTTCTACCTCTTTTGGCAGTATTAGGTGTGAATTCAATGCTTTGTACTTGCTAGGCAGGTACTCTACTGCCTGAGCCATGTCCCTAAATATTTGCTATGTATGTATGTATGTATGTATGTATGTATGCATGCATGCATGCATGCATGCATGCATGCTGCTCCTGGGGCTTGGACTCAGGGCCTGGATGCTGTCCTTGAGCTTTTTTTGCTCAAGGCTAGCTCTCCACCACTTGAGCCACAGCTCTACTTCTGGCTTTTCTTGGTTAATTAAAGGTAAGAGTCTCCTGGACATTTCTACCTAGGCTTGATTCGAACTGGGATCCTTCAATCTCAGCCTCCTGTGTAGAGAGGATTACAGGCATGAGCTACTGGCACCCAACTTGCTCTGGTTATTTTTGAGATAAGAGTATCACTTTTCCTGTCCTGAACCATTCTTCTATGTATGTTTCCTATCATAGCTGGGATGACAGGTGGTACTACCACACTCAGCTTTTTCTGTTGTGATGAGGATTACTGAACTCTTTTGCCCAGGCTGCCTTACAACTGTGATCCTCCCAATCTCAGCTTCCCATTTAGCTGGGATGACAGGCAAACTACCATGCCCTGCTATTGGTTGAGATGGGGGTTGAACTTTCTGTCTAGGCTGGCTTAGAACTGGGGTCTTCCTGATCTTAGCTTCCTATGCCTAGTTTCTTGTGGCTCTTTTGATATAAATAAATGTGTGGCTTAGACAATTTTAGAAGTAGGAAATATATGATGGTTCCGGTGAACTGATTATCTTTAGATTTGAGAGACAGTTGCTTTGAGTATGAAAACCAGACCAGGAAAAGTAGGAGTAGTTCCTCCTATTGCATGTCTCAGTTTTAGGGAAACTGGGTATGTCTTTTATTTGCCACGCTGGTAATGGTCATGGCTTATAGCTTGTGCATGCTGGTATGCGGGTTATAATATGACGCCATCCAACCTAGAGAGCTAGATTCTGATCTGACTGGGATTAGCAGGTCCTACAGTGTAATTCGTATTTGAGCCAACTGACAAGTGAGAGGGTAATGACAGTTCCAATAAAGCAAATACTTACCCAGACAAACTGAAATCAGTTAAAAAGGAGTCATGGCTCCTTTTCACATTAAATTGTTGAGATCACTGTGATTAAGAGGATGAGGGTTATTTTTTCCATATTAAGATTTTAATATTGTTAGCGCTAAGAGCAGGAGAGTGCCTCTTCCCTCTGAGTACTCACTGTTTTGTGCTCTACAGTGACACTTAAAGCATGGGTTAATCCTGTTGCATTTTGCTTTGTTAATGTATAAATGAACATCCGCAATTTAATTATGGCTTGTATGGAGTGTACTATTTATGAATATTATATTTTAGATTCTGCCTTTTCTTAAAAGACATGTATTAAAACAATGATCATTCAACTCTCATTGAGGCTTAATTATTGGTACATTAAGTATTTTCAGGCTAGGAAGGCATGATAATATGAAGTGATTGTGTAATTGCATATGACTCAGTGTAGGAGCTTTTCCTTTGGGATTCTGTTTTAGAACTTGTTCAGGTATGTGGATATTAAAATTACATAACTGAAATACATTCTTTGTCTCTAAAGAGAATGATTGTTTAAATGGTATTTGATAGAAGTTGAAAAATGAGCCTAGAATAAGAGTCCAAATAATGTGGAATTTAGAGATTCCCCATCATCATTTTTCTCTGAAGAAGTCATTTGCAGTTCAATACTACTGTATTGAGTTAAGTAATCACCAAGAGTGCCTGATCAAAAAGTAAGCTGATGGGTAAATGAGATATATACCTGGGAGACAATATGAGAAGCTGAATAATTGTATGCCATTGTACCTTCAAAGTACATTTAGCTTTGTTCTAAAAAGACTGGTTATAGCTTTTTAGAAGTAGTAAAGAATATAGACTTGATAGTTGCCCAATAAATACTTGGGATACATTTCTTTTTCAGAACAAAGATTTATTTTCAGATCTCTATATTGAATAAATTAAACCTATGTTTGGATAGTACATTCCCCCCTACATTTTCCTGTAGGGGCTTTGGATTGTTATTAGGGAGCCCTTGGAAGAATTTCATGTTTTTCTCCATCTGTCTCTGTCTCTCAATCTCTCTCTCTCGTCAATATAGGGTTACAGCAAAGTGAAAAGAGATGTTTTCTCCTTTTTTCAAATTTATTTTTAACCTTTTTTTTTGCCTCTGTTTGTTTTATACATTTTCAAAGTGACAGATATATACCAGTCTAAAACTATTGTTGGGAGAAAAAAGGACCACATAGACAACTTTTTAAAATTTAAATTAATTTTTTTTTTCCTGTCATGGGGCCTGAACTCTGGGCCTGGGCGCTGTCCCTCAAGGCTAGCACTCTACCACTTCAGCCACAGCGCCACTTCCGGCTTTTTCTGCTTATGTGGTACTAAGGAATCGAATCTAGAACCTCATGCATGCAAGGCAAGCGCTCTGTCACTGAGCCACCTTCCCAGCCTCTTTATTTTTTGTCAGTCATGGATCTTGAACTCTGGGCCTGGGCACTATCCTTGAGCTTTTTAGCTTAAGGCGAGCACTCTCCCACTTGAGCTACTTCACCATTTCCAGTTTTCTGGCAGTTTATTGGAGATAAGAGTCTCATGGACCTGCCTGGGCTGGCTTTGAACCGTCATCCTCAGATCTCAGCCTCCTGAGTAACTAGGATTACAGATGTGAGCACTGGTGTCTGGTGACAATTCTTAAATAAGATGAATGAATTGAGATTTACTAAATTCTAATGAATCAGTCATTAATCTAATGTATACAGATGTCTGTAATCTCACCTATATTCCTCCTAATTCCTTCTCATTAAATAAATCCTGAGATTTAGTAGTAGAGAACTTGAGGTATTTCAGTTCTAATAATTAGTTGAATTGATGTTATTGTGGAAACACTAAGATCTTAGAAGATTTTAGTTTTATTTCCTTTTTTTGTGTGTGAGTAGTTTATGATGGCAGGAACTTGTTTTATTACTATGGCACCATCATATTTAAGATTGTCCACTAAGTTAATTTTCTGCTTTTTATTTATATTCATTTGTAAATGAGACTGCTGTTTTAAAACTTCACTTTTAATTTCTTTTTCCCTCTGAGTAGCACTGGAGTTTCAATTTAGGTCCTCCTGCTGCTCTATAGCTAGAGCCATGCCCTAGACTTTTTTCTTTAATTATTAATTTTTTTGTATAGGGTCACTTGCTTTTTCTAGGGGCTGGCCTTGGGCCAGGATCGTCTCAATCTCCATCTTGGAAGCAATGAGATTGCAGGTGTGAATCACCATGCTTGGACTTCATTTAAAAAAATTTACTGAGGTTCCCTATCTCTCCTCAGATCTCATCTCTCCTCAGATCGCTTATTTATCATTGAAGAGGTCTGACAAGTTGGAATTGTAGAGTAATAATGAGTTGTCTTTTGAAATTCCCTAATTTTACTTGAATTTAGGGAAGTTATGAATCTAGTCAAGGTAATATATTGTGTTTCCTTTGAAATATTGCCTCTTTTATCTGCAGTAGAAATTTCCACTTACATCCTTCAATGATTGTGCAAGAGAGAACAACTTTCTAACCCTCATTGCAACACAGCCAAATAATATATAATGTCCTCCTGAAATAGGCTCCATGCACTAGAATTTACTGTGCAATTATTTTTAAGTTGTTCTGTCACATGACAAGGTATAAGTCTCTTACATGTAACTTGAGGTAATTTTTTTGCAATAAGCATACATTACTATTTAAAGATTTATTGAGCTTTAACTGGAATTTTCTAATTCATAATATGTATATGATAAAAAGTTTTACTTATATTTTAGTTGTATATTGATCTATATTAGTCTTGTTTCATTTCGGTGGTGATTTAGGTGTGATTTCTGATAGAATAAGGTAGAAATAAGCTAATGTGAAAATACTCATGACATAACAGTAAATGTTTAGTAAATAGCATCTTCTCCCCAATTAAATTCATTTGTGAAGACTTAAGTTAGTCTTGGTTCAGAAATTCAGTTTTTAAATAATTTTTAGGTAGTCATAAATTACTAAAAGAAAAGAATGCATAGTAAATGAGAATTATTTCAAGAGCATGGTTTTCCAAATTTGTAGAGTACTAGTATCTACTTTATTTTTACTTATTTATTTTAGATGGGGCCTCAGTATATAGCCCAGCCTGGCCTCATTTTCTCTCTTTAGATCAAGCTGGCCGATTACAGATGTTCACTACACACCAGCTTATAGTTCTTTTTTTTTTTTTTTTTTTTGAGTCCGGTCGTGGGGCCTGAACTCTGGGCCTGGGCACTGTCCCTCAGCTCTTCAGCTCAAGGCTAGCGCTCTACCACTTGAGCCACAGCGCCACTTCCGGCTTTTGTCTTTTGCTTATGTGGTGCTGAGGAATCGAACCCAGGGCCTCAGGCATGCAAG